TATGGATTCAATGAAAGCATTAATAACATAGGATTGCTCAATATACAAAGAAAAAGCATTTTAAAAAACCCAATATAGGTTATTGACAAAAACGTTAAGCACATAGAAATGACCTCCCTCAGTCCAACAAAAACAATTCATTAAAACCTAGAGCTAATGTCATATTAAACAAAGAGTTGACTAAGTTGGTACATACCTGTAATCCCAGCTACTTGGGAAGCTGAGGCAGGAGAACAGAAATTTTGAGGCCAGCCTAGGCAATTTAGCAAAACCCTGTTTCAAACTAAAATTTTATAAAAGCACTCAGCATGGAGTTCAGTGGTAGAGTGCCTGCCTGGTATGTGAGAGCATCTAAACTCAATCCCCAAAATACTCTGCTACCAGAGAAAGACTGAATGTTTTCCTATAGAACAAAAACAAAGCAAGGATGTCTGCTGTAACAACTGTGTTCCACATTGTAAAGAAAGTGCTTACTGGCCAGTACAATAAGGCAAGAAAAAGAAATGACACATACAAAAATTAGAAACAAAGAAAACCGTATTTATTTGCAAATGATATAATCATCTATGTAAATATGCTAAGGATATAATCATCTATGTAAATATGCTAATGGATTGTGAAAACCTTAAAAATAATTAGTGAATTTAACAAGTTTGCAAGGTAAAGGGTTAAGTTATTTTTTTCTAGAAATATAATAGCATTACTGTATATTGGTAATGAGCAATAGGACTTGAGATTTAATGTAATTTACAATAGTACAAAATTATGAAATGCTTAAGAGTAAATCTGACAAAAGATGTGCATGATCCATACAGTAAAACTATAAAACATTGCTGAGAGAAATTAACTAGTAAAGAGTTGTACTTTTTTCATATATCAAAAGATTCAAACATTTCAAGATGTCAAATCTCCTCAAATTGATCTACAGATTTCTTTTAAACTCACAGAAAAAAAAAAATGTCTGTGGGATTCCTAATTTCTGGGAAATTAGAAACCTAGCTCTAAAATTCACATGGAAAGGACCAAGATGTGACAATAACTTTAAAAAACAAGCGTTGTAACTTAGAGGACTTACTTAAAATCCAGAATTAATAGCCACTGCCACATAACTACTGGCAAGGATATAAGAACTGGATTATTAGGTGGAATACAAAGTAGAGCAGTCTTTTTGGAAAACCAATTTGAAAATTTCTTTATAAGTTAAATATCAATCTGCCGTCTTATTCATCCATTCTTCTTCTAAGTATTTACCAAACCAAAGAGAAATAAATGTATGCACACTGACACTTACTTGTAAACTTGTTCGTAGCACTTTTATATGTAAAAGTTTCTAAAAAGAAACAATCCAAATGTCCCTCAACAAGTAAATGGATAAACCAACTCTGGTATAGCCAGTCAATGCAATGTTAGTCAGAAACAAACTATGACAGAAATGCCAACATGGATGGATCTCAAAATAATTATGCTGAGAAAAAGCAGAACAATGGTTGCCTAGGCATTGGTATTGAGAAGGCAAGAAGAGTAGACAGAGAAAGGAAGAGTTTGTAAAGATGGCTTTACAGGGCTGGGATGTGGCTCAAGTGGTAGCGCGCTCACCTGGCATGCACGCTGCGTGGTAGCGCGCTCACCTGGCATGCACGCTGCGTGGTAGCCCGCTCACCTGGCATGCACGCTGCCTGGGTTCGATCCTCAGCACTACATACAAACAAAGATGTTGTGTCCTCCAATAGCTAAAAAACAAATATTAAAAAATTCTCTCTCTCTCTCTCTTCTCTCTCTTTAAAAAAAAATGGCTTTATACATGTCAAAACTTCAAAATTGACATTTAAAATAACACTAATAAAAAAACCTCATTGGTATTTCTAAAATACAAGTGAGTGATCTAAAGAAGCATACAATCCTAGATAACTTAGAAAATGTAAATCCTAGTTTGTTAAGAGCAATATTACTTTGGGTATGAGGAGCAACATTTCTGAAACTCTTGTCTAGTAAGGGTAAAAGGAGAATACCAACTGAATATTCCCTTCCCATGCCTACATGTCATGAGAATTCAAACTAAAAAATAATGCAAAGGCCAAGTGCAATGGCACTCACCTGTAATTCTAGTAACTCAGAAGGCTGAGGCAGTAGGAGTGCAAGTTTGAGGTCAGTATCACCAATTTAGACCTTAATTAACTTATTGGGACCTCATGTCAAAATAAAAAGATGTGGGAATGTAGCTCAGCAATTGAGAGCCCAGGGTTCAATTTCTAGCGCCAAATACATTCACACATACACACATACATATATACTACAAAGGCAATTATTTTGAATTCCTAGTATTAATAATCCAAAATTACATAATGCATACATTTTTTAGTTATTTTAATGTTATTCTACAGATGCTTGCTTTTTTCCCCATCTAAAACAGCAAGGAATCTTTTTGCAAAAATGSTACACTGACAGGCTCTTAGGCTCATCCATTACCTTTTGCTGGATAGCCTGGWGTGAGAGGGTCACCAGCACCATTCAAATTTAACACATTTCCTCTCTGCACTGCAGTTCCAGGAAGGTTCCAGCCTTTGGGATATGGCTGTACCCCAGGGGCAAAGTAGTCAGCTGGATCTGAGTACAAGATGATTCCTATGGCTCCTGCTAACATGGCATTTTTAACCTGTGTGAGGAAGGTACAGAAATGGCAAATTACTATTTATATAAAAAATCATAATGTAAGGAAATT